GGGGGGTCCCCTTATTGGGAGGAGAAGTCGTGCTTTGCGGGGTGAGGGAAAGGGGGGCCTCCATAAGGACCACCTCAGGTGGGTTTGGAAGGGAGGAAAGGCCGAGGGTCCTGCAGGGGCCAGCCTCTGGGGTGGGCTTTAGGGGAGGGGAGGCAGGCTATAGGAGGGGGGGTCATGCAGGGCTATCAGGCCTGGACTAGGTGACTGTTTGGAGGCCCAAGGCCTTTTGGGACAGGGTGTGTGTTTGTGTGTGTGTGAAGGTGGGAATCTCAGTGTCTGGGGACGGTGGGCCGAGAAGCACGCCTTCCTGGGATTTGGCTGGGAAGGGTTTTTTTTTGCAAGGGGGTAGGAGAGGATGGTGCTTGGTTTTGAGAGCCTCCTGGGGTTTTCCTATAGGTAGGGAGGCTATTGGGTGTGCAGGTCCCGAGTTAGCGCTCTTTAGTTGATGTTTCTAAGGCTGACGGGGGGGAGTGAGGCAGGCCGCCCTGTACCAGCTGTGATCTCCCTTCTCTCCCGCGCCCTCTGGTCTCCGTGGGGTGGCTTCCCCGCCAAGCACCTCTGATGCCCGAACAAGGCCCCAGAATGAACGGTTTCTCTCTGGGTGAGCTATGCTGGCTCTTTTGTTGCCCGCCGTGCCCCAGCCGCATAGCCGCCAAGCTGGCTTTCCTTCCCCCGGAGCCCACTTACACGGTGATGCAGCCGGAACAGCAAGAAAGTGGGGCTGCCGCGGGGACGCCGACCGGGAGCTGCAGCCTCCACCTGACCGAGCGGGCGGACTGGCAATACTCGCAACGGGAGTTGGATGCTGTGGAAGTCTTCTTCTCGCGCACGTCCCGGGATAACCGGCTGGGATGTATGTTTGTGCGCTGCGCGCCTTCCAGTCGGTATACGCTGCTGTTCTCTCATGGCAATGCTGTGGACCTGGGCCAGATGTGCAGTTTCTATATTGGCCTGGGCTCCCGCATTAACTGCAATGTCTTCTCCTACGATTACTCTGGCTATGGAGTGAGCACTGGTAAGCCGTCGGAAAAAAATCTTTACGCGGACATTGATGCAGCCTGGCAGGCCCTCAGAACAAGGTAAACTGGGATTTGGTGGAAGGTCCTTTGAAAATGGTGTGCATTGTGACAACTTGGGGACTGATTCCTTGCTTACGAATTTCCTTCTGTTTGTCACAGATAGGTGTCCTGTTCATGCTTTTGTGGTGATCCTGCTGCTGTTTGCCATGATCCTGACACCATCCTAAACTTTTGCAACTTGTTGCTCCTATAAAGAAGCTTGGGTTCTCTGAACAGCCAACTTTCCCCTTATATAGTGATTTAAAAGCAATGAATTACTACATAGCATGGAGTTTTTTGCACTCATAGATGGTGCAAAGGCTAAATATGGGAGCTAAAGACATTCTGATGGTACTTATTTTAAGACTTCTTATACTGCCATGTTTCCCCCAAAATAAGACAGGGTCTTATATTATTATTTTTTGCTCCAAAAACGCATTAGGGCATATTTTCAAGAAATGTTTTATTTTACAGTGATGTCATCTTCTGGTTGCTGCACAAGGGTGGAGGGCGGAGTTTCACTTAACTAGGGCTTATTTTTGGGGTAGGGCTTATATTACGAGCATCCTGAAAAATCATACTAGGGCTTATTTCCAGGTTAGGTCTTATTTTCGGGGAAACAGGGTACAAGTCCAATATGCTTTCAGTTTCGAGGCTCATAAACCCATCACGCTGTATGAAAGTTCAGGTGATATAATCATGACTAGATGCAGTTCCTCCCTTTATACAAATATTCTTATCCCGATGAGAAGGCTGTGACCTTTCATCTCAAACATGTACACCTTTATAGTCTTCGTGGTCTGACTAGTAACTGAGAAACCTGCCTGGAGCATGTGTTGGCTTCCTTCAGAATGTGAGTCAGTTGGCTCTTAGGGTCTTCAACCACTGTCACATTTTTCTGGACTCACATTGTTTTAACTCTTCCTTTTGACTCAAAAAGCTAGCTTCACAAATTCAGAAAGCTAAATTCCATATGAATGGAGATGTCATGTATGTATCATACATAGCTTATGCATATGCTCATAGTAACAGCAGTAAAAATCACATATTTATCTAGCTTTCGGAGAGAAATGATTTGCACTAGCATAAGTCAGGGTATGGGAGGTTCTATTTCTTTATGGGAAATTAATTCTGAAAACCTGGTGGAGGAAGAATGGAAAGTACAATATTAGAGGTCAGTCAGTAAATGTAAAACACCATTTACCAGAGGCCCTCTAGATGTTCTGCGCTTTTTCATCATGGCCAATGGGAGCTGTGGTCCTACGTGAATGGAAGGTAGTACTCTGAAGTGAAGCCTTTGGGACTGGATGCATGAGGGATGAAGTGTGAATCCTCCTTACTCTTCCAGAAACTATGCAGACACACTCTTCAGTATGTTTTGTTACTATTTAAAACCTTTATACGTTTTATTTTGCTTATCTTTTCCTACCCACCAGCACTCCCAAAATGATGCATGATAAAAATTGTATTGTTCTCCCTTCACAGCCGTTAAAGTGACCTCCCCAACAAGCTCTTGATCATACCTGGATGATCATATCTTGATTCAACATGAAATAAGAAGAGGTCTTCTAGGCTGGGCACATGACCTCTTCACTGCTCCCTCTGGAACAGAAGCAAACAAACCAGGAAGTTGTCCATTTGCTATAGTTTCCTGGTACACCCACTCCAGGAAGCTGTGGTTCACAGAAATCAGAGTATTAAGCCACGGCTGGAAGTTGACTCGGCTTACTCTGTTAACCTCTGTTTTGTGGTTAGAAAGAGATTAGAAGCTATATGGAAGACTTCCTGGCTTGTTTGCTTGTGCTGGGAAGAGGCGCTGGGTGTTGCCAAAGGGTTGCTTGACTTCATGCTTTATTGAGCTGAGAGATGAGCACTTAAACTCACCCTGCAAAACACAAAAGCCAGTACTATGTTCACCTTAAAGGCATAATATTTTGCCTTTAAGCTTTATTTTAAAAACCAAAATTGATAACTGTGTCCTGTTGGAATCCAGAGGCACCTGCTTACCTGTAAAATTGACTTCCTTTGCACTTGTGCTCATTCCTGATATTATTTCGAGTTTGTTGATGTGCTGAGACAGCTCCTTGACCTGAAATCTTGACCTGGCAGATTATAATGCCATCCGTTTATAGAAACAGCCAGCAGGACGTACGGTTGTTTGTACCACTTATTTCCACTTATTACTTATCCTAGTAAACTGCTAACCAGAAAACGTATAAACCAGACATTTTACAGTGTATTCATAAGTAGAAATCTAGAGTAGTTCAACATGTTTACCACGGGTAGTCTCCTGATGGGCATCTTTCAGTTGCATGGCATTAAGGGCTTAATGCAATTTAGGTCATGGTTTCTAGATTTGAAAACCAAGAATATTTTGGGAAACAAGTTTCAAAACTGTTTTTTGCTGTGAACATTTTGATTTATGAGTACTCTCAGGAGAGTAGTATTTTTGTTTCCATGTTTTAGAGTTTGCTTTAAATAGACCTCTTAATTATTTTTTATTTAAAGGGGGAAGAGCACTTAATTCTTTCATAAAGAAAATTAAACCTGGCTTTTGCCCAGTGTCTTCAGTCAGTTTCAATCTATTTAGGTCTTTTTCTTTCTTTCTTTTTTGGCATTGCATTTTTGCCTGTATTTACATTCTTCAGGACATGGAACAATTCCCTCTTTCTTTTTATTCTAGAAAATATAAAAAAGCAGTGTTATGCACTATCTGAGATTGTGATCTTAAATGGCTCAATTAAACTTTGAGTTTGCCTTGCATGAATGGGAGAGAAAGCATTTGGTACAAATTTGAAAGCAACTCAGGCTGGCTTTATGTTCTTGTATATAAATTGTGGATAAATTGGTGCCCTTTGTCCATTTCTGCTTTTGCACCCTGATAATCATGCTTGGTGAGTTATCATCCTAGTTCTGATAGCTATCAGTTGCCAGCTTAGTTACTTAATGGTGTAAATGAGATCAAACTCTTAAATCTTGTGACAGAGAAAATTTTGGCTGTTGTGTGGTAAATGAGTGGAAAGGCTAATCCCGCTGGCCTCTTAATAATAGATCTGTGCTGTATTTTGTTAAGCTACCACGTGCCAAGAAGGCACCAAGCAGTTTTCACCAGCAGTTGAAGTTCTGGTTCAGGGAAAACAGGTGGTTTTAACTCTAAAATATCTCTTCAAATACCCAAGAGTTTGTTTTGGAATAAAATAGACTTACGAGACTCACAGAAATTTTGTGGCACTTGAAATGTTTGGAAACGTTAAGAGATATGTGATAATGTGTCACCCCTAAACTGCTTTAACAACACAAAATGCATAATTTATAACCTAACATGTAAAATTATGCATTAAGCATATTCTTGCCATATAGAAGCACTGTTGTTAGGACTTTGAAGTATGCATTTCCAAGCATTTTGAAGACGTGGAAGAAAAACTTAAGTTATAATATCAAAAACTAGTGTCTGGTGTATTTCTGTAATGAAAAAAATAGAGAAGCCTGGGTTTTCTACCAGCAAAATGGTGAATACACCTGATACTAAAGAGAACTGGCTACGTTCTGTGCTCTGTGCTATATCGGTACACTGGACACCAGGAAATGTATCAGAGGAGACTGGAAGCAGTTGGGGAATCCACGTGCCGTTGAGTCGTCTTGGTTCCTCAGACATTCGGGTTGCCTGGCTAGAAGCTTCCGAAAGTTCAGCACTTGACCGGAGTGGAGCGTTTGGTGATCTCTGCATCCGGTTTCAAATGCCTAAATTATCCCAGGCCGTAATTTCAGATGACAGTTAGGTTGACTTGACAGCCTTCTCCTCCCCGTCCTTAAGGACAGCTTGAACGGACCATTGCATCAATTAATGACATTTTGTGCCTGTAAATGCTGTAAATGCACCAGGCATTTGTAGGACCCTTAAAGATGGAAAAGAACGGTCAGAGGCTTATACAAATATTTCCCCCACCTGCCAATCAGCGGTCCTTCAGATGCTTTCAACCACAGCCCATTAGATTCGGTCACCTGCAGGTGAGGGTCCTGGACATTACAAAGCGTACAGATGGCATGAAGCCCATTTCCTTTTCCAGAAAACATTTTGGATGTTGTCCTTCCCTGAAGAACAGGGAGGGAACATCGCAGTGTGTCTCTGTTACAGAAATAATCCCCACAGACTGGCTTTGCATAGATCTCCTACACTGATTTTTTTAAAAGTGCATAATGCAATATAACTCCACTCTTCTGAATTATTAATACTTTAGTCAGCATAGGGAGTTCTTTACTGGCCGGCAAATACTTCCTCCCTGAGATCAGTAAGCTTTTAGATTTCGGCCAATTCTTTGCTGCAGGACATCTTTAATTAAAGGCAACTAACTCAGTTAAATGCCTGTGAGTGTTCTGCCTGTGGCTTGCTAGATTAAGTTGAGTATGCTAAAATGATAGTGCACTTAGAATGTATCTCCTCTGTTGCTTCTAAAAGCTGCAAACTTAGGAAAGCAGTGTGATGTGGCATAAGATGATGCTGAAGCCACTGCAAAACTTACACTGAGTTTTCATGACACTGCCATTCATATTCTCATAACAATAGTTAAGCAAATATACCTGTCCCTCATACAGTATTGCATTGATGAACCTGATGGTTGATAATTTTGGGGGATAGGCCGCTCGCCGCTCTTTGGCTTACCCATACCATTGGTATTCTGTTGTGGTTGTGTTACTGTGGCGCTTCAATTTTCCACCAAGCTATCAAGACTAGAGTTAGGTTTTCATGTGTTAAGGCGCACACGTTTCTCTTGCAAAACACTGAAGTCGTTGGGTAAAATGCAATGAGCAGAGCCAGCCACTGCTGACATATTTATCTGCCCATGAACAGTAATGAAGAGAATCCTTTGAAGTCTTTTGGCTAGAGGCAGTAAAATAAACAGTCCTCTCCTTCTTTGGTATTCCCACCACAGTAGGATACCTGTATCATTGGCGTGGATCTCCCCGCTCTTTAAAATATACAAGTAAATTTTGTAGCAAACGTCCTTCTTCATTCCCGTCAT